TACAGACAAGATACGTGTGTGCAAGTGTATACATATAAGAAAAGAGTCACGTACCGTGGAAATGTTTCCGGGCTGTTCACAATATTGACGTTAACAAAAGGACCACTTTTTCTGTCTTTTATCGGGTGGCCGAGGCAAGCGTAGCAATCATAACATCGCTGCCTATCTCCATGTGCTCGGTCGGAAACAGGCTTCCTGGTCTTTCGATAGCAACCCGTGACCCAAAAATGGAACTTGTATAAAAATACGATACGCCAACGCGGGATCGATTTGGTTTCCGAGTACTATTTTCCACGACTCACAAATTTATATTCGGGTAGGACGAATACGAAAACAAAAGCCAACTTCTTTTTGTATCATTTCCCAAAATTATATTTACGATGGAAAGTGAGAATAATACGAGAGAATATTCCAACTGCGGAAAAAGAAAAGCAGATTTAATACCGGAATTGCCAAAGTAAAATTATTGATTTTGAATAGATCATAAAAGTTCATATGAACTTTTACCGCCTATTTGACCTCGGGAATACGTAGTATAATTTTGGTTCCAATCGTTTTGGACATCCTGTATAGTGACTCTCGCTAATGTTCGGACTATTAATGACAGTCACTGTATAAAAAAAAATCCGTATTTCTCATGCTAATTAGGTATTGCCTAATTTCTGGAATAACTCCATTATTTCATTATTCGATCTTTATTAATGGTACTAACAAGAATTACGCCTGTCAGAGAAGAATAAGAGCCCGGAACGCGGAAAGTGAGAACGAGAAATGGATTGTACAATTGAAAACGAATTGAATAAAGGATCTATCGTTCCCCGATTCGTACTACTTCCGATTATTCCCAATTGGAAATGGTGCGGGCTCGGCGCGACGTGGCGCGCGGACGAGAAGGAAATTAAAAAATCGAAGAGTCCTCGCCACACACCATTAGGCCGTGCGTCGTTAATGAAGTTTGAAATGAATGCGCGCTTGATATTGATCATAGGCGGATTAAAAGTGAATAGAGCCCGCCGTATAAATTGCAAATCCGGATTTGAACGGGCTGCGCTGGCTGTGTGAACGTTAAATCAAGTTACGCGAGTAGGACGCGTCCGGTCAGACAGAAAGGTTAATAAGTTCGTGTTTGCATCGACGACAAGATGAAAAATGGAAATCGTTCGTCAGCGTCGAACCAAATCCCCGTCGGCAAAAAAGAGGATGTCCCGTAATGAACGGAAATTCCGAAAAATCATAGCCGGGCGTTTAATAAAAAACTGTTACCAGAAACCGCGTTTTATATCAACGGACACGAATCATTAATTTACGTATTTTCAGCAATATACAAATATTTTCTGCTCTGGCGATACACATTAAAAGAAATTTGTTTAACACTAAAATATTAATAAACGAAGGACATATGGGATTATATTTTTTTAGGGGTCGAAGTTTATAACGAAGGGATTATGTTTTCATCTGTTAATTATATTTATTTCGACTATTTGATTTTATGTATGTATAGTAAATAACTACTTTCTATTATATTATTGACTTGACATTTTAAATCGAATAAGGATTGGAATCTGGTGAACACACAAGCTGATAGAAATACGCTAACTGTTTGTATCATGAATTTTAATTATTGTAACAGTAACTTTATTTCGTATAATACCCGGTCTTTCTATTTACTGAACAACAGTTTCTAGCACATCTGTACTGTTGATCCCTCCGGTTTTGTTCGATTATGAGCTAACGTAATGATCCGGTTAAACAATGCGCTCGAGCATGAAATCAGCAAACACGTTCATCCGGAATGGCTTTCGTGCATTAACAAAAATTTTATAATAATACCTACCGATGGGAATAACATATGTAGTCAGATATAGAGATAACGAACTGGATTAAGAAAAAATTAAATGAAAGTTGATAGGTGTTGACAGAGGATCACGAAAATATTTTAACTTACTACTTTAAAAACCTAAGTGATTCGAATAAAACTAGACAGACTTTATTATAAAACTAATTCAAGATTGGAGTTCAACAAATATTTGTCTACTGAGTAAACTTTTGAACATTAATCGAGCGTTAAGTCAATCTGTAGGATAATGGATGAGTTCGCGACTCGTCGTATTACTGAATCGCAATATTAATGGAACACGGACGCGGTGCAGCCTAGTGGCTGCGTCAGAGCGTAGGATCTATCGCGGTCGCGTCAAACTCTCACGTTGACACAGGAAATTGACGAGAAGAAAGTCACCCCCTCCTGTCCCCCCGTGTGACAGTGAACGTGTTAACGAGGAATACGCCCGCGAATCGATTTATCGATGAATCCGGTTTGATCGAAAGGCGCGATCCCGGGACGGGAGAAACGCGATTTTCGGAAAGGCAGCTATTTAAAATTCATGAATTCCGTCATATCTATAACCAATTAGGTCACATACGCCGACGCGACGTCCCGCGTCGTCGCCGGTTCAGAGGAGTTTAATGAAAGGCTTTCAAAATTCACCGAACGTTCCATTCTTTATCGGAGCAATTAGAATCCCCCATGCAGCCTGCATAAACTATCAACCGCCGGCCAACGAAATTACTCTAGTGCCCGCAAACCATATCTGAATACGGTCCGTGCGGTCAGATGTTGCATCGTACCGTCCCCTCCGGCTTTAATTAAAAAGAAAGAACTAACATGAGAGGCAAATAAAAACGCAGCCACTTCTCGCTACCACATCGATTGCTCGGAAAGGTTAACATTCCTACGGTGGATCGTGGTAGAGTACGGAAATTAGAAGTTTGAGAACCAAAAATATCGTTCATTAAAATCAGTTTCCGTTTCATCGATAGATAAGCAATTACCGGTATAATAATANTGTTAATTATATTTATTTCGACTATTTGATTTTATGTATGTATAGTAAATAACTACTTTCTATTATATTATTGACTTGACATTTTAAATCGAATAAGGATTGGAATCTGGTGAACACACAAGCTGATAGAAATACGCTAACTGTTTGTATCATGAATTTTAATTATTGTAACAGTAACTTTATTTCGTATAATACCCGGTCTTTCTATTTACTGAACAACAGTTTCTAGCACATCTGTACTGTTGATCCCTCCGGTTTTGTTCGATTATGAGCTAACGTAATGATCCGGTTAAACAATGCGCTCGAGCATGAAATCAGCAAACACGTTCATCCGGAATGGCTTTCGTGCATTAACAAAAATTTTATAATAATACCTACCGATGGGAATAACATATGTAGTCAGATATAGAGATAACGAACTGGATTAAGAAAAAATTAAATGAAAGTTGATAGGTGTTGACAGAGGATCACGAAAATATTTTAACTTACTACTTTAAAAACCTAAGTG